CACGGTTCTTCAGCACCAACTTTGGCAGTCTGGCCAATTGCTATTCACGGGCGCACGTCGACAGCATCCTCCAGACCTTTCAACGAATCCAGGAATCGCTCTTCCCCGGCGTCAGCGGCGGTGTTGGGGCGCGGCTCAAGCAGATGATCGCCGAGCGATTCGGGGTGCAGGATGTGCCGGACGGGTACCTGTACTTCCCCCTGTCGCTAGGGGGCCTGGGTCTGCAGAATCCGTTTGTGCCCATGTTTCTGCTGCGGGAGTCGGTGCTCGAGGATCCGGGCAAGGTCATGGACGACTACATGACGGAAGAGGCGGCGCGGTACCGGGCAGCGCGAGCGGCATTCGAGTCGCCGCACGACGACCTCGACGGGACCAACAGGATGAATCGGACGGTTGAGGATCTGAAGCGCGACTACCCAGACCTCAAGAACGAGAGATTCTTCAGCTACGACGAGTACACGCGATACCAAGAGAGAACGTCACGGGCGCTGGGCAGGGCGTTTGACCAGTTGCGCAGGGAGCCTGAACCCGAGCCGCTGCGGGAGATGGAGGATGGCGTGTGCTCGGGGTCGGCATGGCAGAAGCTGTCGGCGCAGGAGCGATGGGTGTGCCGGCAGCACGCAAAGGACATGGTGTCACGGTTCGGGGGCCTGGCCGTGGTCGAGCAGGGTCTGCTGCCGATGGGCATGATGGGCATGCTGAGGCAGAGCCGGTTCAAGTGGCAAGGGTGAGCCGGGCAATGTATGGGAGGGCTGGACGGCTAAAGAGGTTCGCAGCAAAAGGACGAGAAGACGAAGAAGGGGTCAAACTGAGGAGGGAGGGGGGGGGGGGCATAGCCAAGGCGAACCGCCTGGAACGGAAACGATGGCGACGCTCACCAAAGGGTGCCTTCATCTAATCATCACCGTCATTGCCGTCATCACGGCTCGTTATCGCCTCTCGTCCCGTCCGTCTTCTTGCGTGAGTGTACGCAGGACAGTCGATGAGGCAGCTCGACGAAAAGTCACGCCACTTGCAGCCCGTCTTCTGTCTCGCTCGTGATGTTCCCACTTCCTTCCCATTCAAGCCAGACCTCCCACGCCCTCCCTCCCCTTGTCCCAGTCCGTCAGTGTGCCTCTGAACACGAGAAGGACGGTCACGTAAAGAAAACTGTAGACAGCCACCCAACTTGACCTCACCTTCACTTGGATCACCTCAGCCAACCCCCACTCGCCGACCCATCCCACTCTCAAGTCCGCCTACCCCACCACCCTTTCTGCCTGTCTTAACCCACCCCCCGTCCCTCCTGCGGGCGTCGTGACGTGCTCCGGTGCAACCAACATAGCGAACACTCCGGAGGAACCACCTGAGCCCCGGTACCTGCATCTCGCATGCTGCTTGCCTCAATCCTCGCCAGGGCGACACAATGGCAGGGTCAGGCCTGGCCTGGCCTGGCAGAGAGGCCCAGCTGTCCGAAGGCAGAAAAGAAGGTGAGCGTTCCTTCCAAGGTGGGGAAGCCGTCCACTCGCCGTCCTTTCGAACCCCCCGTCGAGCACGTCTTATCAGCACCGCCGGAGCCGAAGTCCTCTTCGAGAAGCGCACTGTTCTGCAGGCGCCGCATCCCGCCTCCTCCCCCTTCAACTCTCCCTCCTCCCCAGCCCCCCTGTCCGAGAGAGGTACGATGCTCTCACCTACAGGCTTACAGGTTACATGCTACGGGCTACGCAAAGGTTCCAGGCTGAAAGCCGAAAGCCTGCCGCCGTAGCGTTTGATGGCTTTTCGACCACCACCCCTGCCCTGCCGGGAAAGCGCCATCATCGGAAATGGAAGCGCCCAATCTGCCCTGTATCGCAGCTTGTCGTCCTTCTAGAACATCCACCCTCAACCCCCTGTCCTAGGCACCCTACCCTGTCAGCTGTCTTTCCTCCTGCCCCCTCCCCCCCCCCCCCCTCCCTCCTCTTCAGCCAGGGAGGAAGTCGTTATCACCACTGTGGGCCGGCCAGCGGCGAGCGTTGCCGGGCGCTACCTTGGCGCAGGACCACGGTAGAACGAACAGGAACGAAACAGAAAGGCAGGAATCGCGATCGCAGCCCAGGGGATCAGGGTGGGGGAAGGAGGCGGTATGGGTAGAGGGTTTCCTTCGGTCTCGGTCCCTTTGGTCTTTCGCTCTCACCTGCCGTTTATTTTGCCTGTGTTCTAGCTCAAATTCTCTCTCTCTCTCTCTGTTTCTGACAACTTACCTATACCTCCTTTGTTGCGGGGGATCCGGGCGCCGCCGAAGCAAGTCCTGGGGTCTGACCGGGAATAGGCTCCCAGGGGGGTCGGGGGGGCAGGGGACTTTTGGGGCAGAGGTGGTGGAACTCGCCGAGGCTTTTGGTGACATCAACTGGGAAACAGGCAACTTCGGGTGATATTCGGGCGGCTGCACTTTACCCCGACGTAACCTCGGGCAAGGGGGGGGGGG